AGTCACTTAACTCTGCCTCAGTTTCCTCATCTGTAAAATGAGCTAGAGAAGGAAAGGGCAAACTGCTCCAATATCTTTGCCACAAAAGCCCCAAATGGGGTCACGAACAGTCAGACACAACTGAAACCACTCAATACATGCCAAGCTCTGTGGGGCCACCAGGATACAAAGTGAAAAGAGTCCCTGGCCTCAGAGGGCTGAGAGTCTAGTCAGGAGAGGTCTATAAATGTCTAAAAATAGCCATGAGGTAATGGGGGGGGTGATGGGGGAGACATGAGCAGCTGGGGTATCAGGAAAGGTTTCATGTAGGAGATGGCACTTGTAGGGACCAGGAATTCTGAGAGACCCAGGTGAGGAGGGAGTGCATGGCAGACAGCCCCTGCAAAGGCCCTGAGGTGAGAGATGAGAGCCATGTCTCTGGACCTGCAAGGTGCTCACTGTGACTGGATCACTGAATCTCCAGACTACAGTAGGTGAGAGGGAATGGAAACACAGAAACTCCATTTGGAAAAACTTGGGTTTTTTTGTGAACTGCATCTCTGGGTCAGGGTAAGGTTGTCTGAAATGGGTCTTGATGTTTAGCAGCTCCTGCTTCCTTGGCGATGGGGCAAATGGGAATTACAGGGTTCGAGCTGGAAGGGGCTTAGAAGCCATCTGGTCCAATCCCTCATTTTGCACATAATAACACGAAGGTCCGGGGAGAGAAGGGACTTGTCCAACATCACCCAGCAGGGCGGAAGGTCGAGTGCATTTAGGACAAGGGCAAGCAACGGAGGGGGACCCAACCTTTGGCCAACACTCCCACACATCAGGAACAACTGAGTGAAGGCCAATTTAAATAATTTCCTGGCACAGAAAATGAACCTAGTCACCGTGGTAGGTGTTTCCATTGCTCCATCTTGAAAGCTAACATGGAAAATGAGGGAAGAACTCCTCCAATGGTTCCAAGGAGCCTCCTTGGGGCTTAAGTGTGCCTCCAGTCACCACAAACAGCATCAGCAGGCTAATATGCACGAAAGCCTTTCCCAAATGGGGGTCGGCAGATAATGATCCTGTTCCATGAAGGTAAACAAAAGAGTGACTGTGCCTACCCACTGGCTGGGGGGGGGGGAAGAGGAAGAAGAGGAGGAGGAGAAGGGGGAGGAGGAAGGGGAGGAGGAAGGGGAGGAGGACCTGGAGGAGGAGTAGAGGAGGGGGAGGGGGAAAGAAGGAGGGAGAGGAGATGGATGGAGGGAAGAAGGAGAAGGGGGAGAGGGGAGAGGGAGACAGCTACCACTCACCAGCTCCTTCTCCACAGAGAGGAGAGTCTAAAGGGAAAGCATTCAACTCGGCCACCATCTAAGTGCTTCCATGAGGTGGAAAGAAGAGGTAGTCCAGGCTCTGAGCATCCCAGAATCTGGGGTCATGGAGGGATTTCAGAGGCTTCTTCCCTGCTGGGAATCCCTTCAATGACAAGCTGTCATCAAAGTTTTGTTTGAAGTCCTTGAATTAAGGGGGGAGGGCAAAGATAGGGGGCAGGGCAGGGGTAAGGGAGACACATTCCCTCCTGAGGCAGCCCCTTCCCACACTGGGAGTCACAGAGGGACAGCTGAAAAATATCTGCAGACCCAAGTTCTGCTCCTAACCGACTGTGTTACCTGTGTGACCTTGGCCCAGTAGCTGGAGGCCTTCTGGGCCTCAGTTTCCTCATCTGCCTAGTGAGGGGGTCGGACCAGATGGCCTCTGAGCTTTCTTTCAGCTCTAGATGGAGGATCCTATGAATCTGAGAGATGCCAATTGTTATTATGATGATGTACATGTAGCAGACAATAGGGACCATACATCATCGCTAAACTTGATGTCTTCCTTGGCCTTTAGCAGAGGCTCTCATACAGCAGAGGAACGCCATCATTCTCTGCCAGATTTGTTTTCAAATAAATTGAGGAAAAAGGGGCAGCGAGGTGGTGCAGTGGATAGACCTCTGGCCTTGGAGTCAGGAGGACCTGAGTTCAAATCCGTCCTCAGACACTTGACACTTACTAGCTGTGTGACCCTGGGCAAGTCACTTAACCCCATTGCCTAGCCAAAAACAAACAAACAAACAAAATCAAATAAATTGAGGAATGCCAACAGGATCATGACACTGTCTCCCATCTTGACTATTAAAAATACCCAAATTAAAAATAAAGGACATATGAAGAAAGATGCTATCTGCATCCAGAGAAAGAGCTGATAAATACAAATATGTCTAGAACAATTACATATATATATATATATGTATATATACATATGTATATATACATATATATGTATATATATGTATATATATATGTATATATATGTATATATATACATATATATGTATATATATATATTTGGTTTGTGTGTGTGTATATATATATGTATACCTATTTGCGTCTAATGGTAGCCATCTCTAGGGTATGGGGGGGGAATAAAAAGAAAATAAAGAGATTTAGATGATAACTTTGTCGTGTGTGTTAAGGGAACAGCAAACTGCACACAGTAGATTTGCAGTTTCATGTGCTATCATCTTGTTTTATTGTACTGTGTTGTGGAAATGCTTGTTTTATTCCATGAATGGAATATAAAATATTTTTTTTTAAAAATGCTCGTTAACTGACGAATGGTTTACAACGCCTCCCCCTTGCGTCTTTTAAAATCAGTGCGGCTTTCCTTGGTGCTATGGAGAGAAGTTAGAAATAATCCAGCTAGCAGAAGAGGAAATCAGCCAATAAGCACTTACTGAGCACTCTCTGTATGCAAGGCACTGCTCTTCGTGCTAGTAATACAAAGTCAGGCCAAACCAGGGATCTGTACTCTCAAGGAGCTCATATGCAAGGGGGTAGACAACATGCAAATAGCCATGTACAAATATGGAAGGCATACAAACAGGATGATTGGTCCCCAACCACTCTTTTCTTCTAACAACCTGATGGGTGGGGTGGGCTCTGCTATCTTTTTTTTTTAAGTTCCATGGTCCTGGAAACTTCACAAGTTGGAACAAGGCATACAGTATATAAGCAAAAACAGCAAGTGTTAAGAAAGAAAACTTTTAGATATTTAAAGTGAAAATGCAATGGCCTGAAATAATCCAAAAATTAAAATAAACTAAAATATTAGCTTGAGTAAAACCAAAATGAGGAGAAGGAGGAGGATTGGGAGGAGGAGAAGGAAGAAGAAGAAGAAGAAGAAGAAGAAGAAGAAGAAGAAGAAGAAGAAGAAGAAGAGAAGAAGAAGAAGAAGGGGAAGAGGAAGAGGAAGAGGAAGAGGAGGAGGAAGAAGAAGAAGAAGAAGAAGAAGAAGAAGAAGAAGAAGAGAAGAAGAAGAATTAAATTTATATGAAGCTTAGGGTTTACAAAATGCTGTACAAATATTATATAATTTAGTCCTCACAACAACCCTAGGAGGTGGGAGTTATTATTATCCCCATTTTACAGTTGAGGAAATTGAGGCAAAGAGAAGTTAAGTGACTTGTCTAGGGTCACACAGAAAGCGAACTTCACTGTAAAACATCCAATATTATTTGCAATTGTTAAAGTCTTCCCAGTAACAAACAAATTTTTTTTTTGTAACTACAGGCATTCCTCATATTGTTATTCTAAAAACATAACTGAATTTTTTGGGTGGAGAGGCAGGCAACAAGCATGGCACGGTCCGACAAAGGACAAATTTGAAAAACAGTCCCCATTCCCACAGAGCTTCCATTGTAATGGAATATGGAATATGATGCGCAAACTGGAAAGTAAAGCTATCCTAAAACTCATCACTTGGTCAATAAGCATCACTTAAGCACCTGCTACGTGCCAAGCGCGTAGACAAAAAGCTCAAAGTCCCTACATGCTAAAGGGGGAGAGCCATGTAAAATGTGCACATGTGTTACATATGTGGAGCATTTATAAATGCAGGGTCGTTTATGGGGAAGGCACCGGACCTGTAGGAATCACAGCTTCCAAACTTCCACGAGGAGCGAAGCCCCATTCGTGGAGAAGAGCCCACCTTGCCCCTTCCACCCTCCTGGTGCCACAATCTGCCCTTGTTTATTGATGTGGTTGATTCCCTGTATGTGTACAGGATCCCATCGTCAGAGTCAGCTCCCATTGCTGTGTGTGTAGACTCAAGTCTTCTCTGGCCACTGAGTAGCTATTGCTCATGGAGCCAGGCTTTGGTTTACCTGGGCCGGAACAACCAGCTGAGTCCTCTGGGCCCTAGTTAGGCTGAGGGGGGCACCTGGTCCTGGGTCCTCTCTTGGTGTAGGATCACAGCCCAGAGTCAAGGGTCAATCACAGATTCACCCACAAATAACAAGCATCTATTAAGTGCCTACTCTTTACCAGGTACTGTCCTAGGAACAAATCAATCAACAATATTTATTAAAAGCTGTCTCTGTATTAGACCCAGGAGAAACAAAGACAGAAGCAAAGTAGTCCTGCCCTCAAGAAGCTTACTTTTGATTGGGGCAACAACACATGCACATACGTGTGCATACACATATATGTATATATGTATATGAAATGTTTATCTGTGTGTATACATACATACGTCCTACATACATGTACACAAAACGGATATAAGGCGATTTTTGCAGAGAGGTTACTGTAAACTACCCTTGAGAAGCCCACCTTATGTGAGTGAATACAGCAGGTATCCACATTAAGCAAACATGAGACAAAAAGATTCAGGGATTTCTCATGCTGACATATTCGACTTTGACGATATCAAACCATCACGTCAAACGGTAATTTATGAAGCACCCGCTAAACCCCTTGCAAGTAGGGATTTTCATTCTTTCTTCTTGCATCTTGTGCTTAGCACAGTGACTGACACACAGTAGGCATTACATAAATCCTAATTATTTATTAATCCAAAGGGCTAAAAAGCAAGGAAGGCAGTTATTCAGTTGGCCATTTAGCTTGTGGGCCCCCATTCATTTGACTATTTGGTTGCTATAACATGTAGCACAGTACAGTACAAAGAAAGCTGGATTAGAAGACAAAAAGACCTGGGTTCAAATCCTGGCTTTATTGCTCACCACCAATATGATCATGGTCAAGTCACCGCTTCTGGATCTTAGGGCCTGCTTCTTTCTCTGTAAGATGAAGGTCAGACTTGATGACCTCTGAACTCTCTTCCAGCTCCACATCAATGATTCCACATTTACAAATCACTTAGTTTCCCTGGGCCTTACTCGGTTTCCTCATCTGTAAATCGATGGGGACAGACCAGATGGTTTCTAAGGTTCTTTCCATCTTTAAACCTGAGCTATGTAAATGTGAAAGCTTCAGCAACCCCCTAGATCCCTCTAAAAGTAGCTATAACCAACCTAAGGAATTCAGGATACCGAGCCATGGAAATGGATTCTAGAGAGTCATTGAGACGCCTTCTAACTCTCGACTTCTTGGGTTTTACGATTCTCCAAACGCCATCAGAGACCTCTGTCTCCCAGTGGGGCTCCCCACTGTAAGCCCTGAGCCACCAAAGTCCTCTTCAGTCTGCTGAAGCAGGGACTGCCATTTTGATTCCTTCCTTTGAGCAAAAATGTGTCTGATGCTTCATCTGCAATGAAAATATTCTGTGAGTTTGTAAAAAAAACAAAATTAATAACACACTTTTATGGGCATGTCTAACCATGAGATAATTATGCTCCTTGGATCATTCGTATCTTCCTGCCAAATGGGCCTAACGTTATAATATATGCCTTGTTGTGTGGTTGGACATAAAAATATTATTCATCCAAGGTTTATAATAACAGACCATTACCATAATAAATATTGGTCACAAGAGTTCTTCTATTGTGGGGAAGACTGTTACCCCAGCTCAAACGCATTACTGCTGATCCAAGATTAAATTTCACTTTTTTTAATCAAGAGCCTAAATCCTAAGGATTCCAAACCTTGAAATTGAAACTCTCTCTTGAAAAAAAAAATTCAATAGGAACTATCAGAAAGAAATAGTCAAAATGGTCTGCAACCAGTCAAAGGAAACTTGGGAGGCATTTGGTCCACTCAGCTATCATTCTCCCACTGCAATGGCTTGCCTCCCAAAGAATTCCAAAGCCAGGATCTTGGGCCAAGGAAGCCTAAAGGCTTGGAAATGTTGGGTTTGGGGTTGTTTTTTTTTAAATCAAAGCACCAAAGGTCTCTCAGAAAAGTTGCAATTAATGTGTTATTAAAACCCAGACAATTCAGACCTCTTATGGAATCCAGGCTGGAGGTAGGAGAATTGAGAGCCATCTTGTATTCTAGAGATTAAAGCCATAACTAGGGCGGGTCAGCTGGGACATTGCCCTGAGGGACAAATTTAGAGGGTGCTGACAGCTCTGGCAGTCCTTCAGCAGCAGAGAAATGAGAAAGCTTACCACCTAGTTAGCAAGAAGAATTAGGTAGAGTAGGAAGTTACCAAATGGCCCGCTTCCTCACCTCTAAACCTTCGTCTGAGGATACTTTTCATACTGTTTGCCTTGAGCATGGTCTGCAAAATCCCACGTCCAAATATTACTAGCTGCGGTTCTACTAAAGATCATGTCCTATTAAAACAAAACAAGTTTATGTTTTGGGTTTTTTGCTGCCCTGCTACGAAGCTGTGTCAAATGTTATTGCAAATGAGTGAATCAAGAGCTAGGCCTTAGAAATATTATTATTGTCGGTATTATTTATTCCAAGTTTTATGACAATGATATTAGTTATAATGGAATTTGGCCTAGATTTTGGTTCAAAAGAGAGCTTACATTTTAAAATATTCCTTAAAATTTGAAAAGAAAAGAAAATTTAGATACACCATTTTTATTAAAAGATCCTTGCCTTTTTCTGCATTCAGGAAGTCATTTTGCTCACCTAGGGATGAATAATATAGACTAGATCATATAGACTAGAATGGTTCGGAGCATAGGTTACTCTGGCAAATTGAATTGTATGGCTAATTGAAGATTTTCTGGTTAACAATAGTACAGGACAGCTAGGTGGTACAGTGGATAGAACACCAGCCCTGGAGTCAGAAGGACCTGACTTCAAATCCAGTCCCTGACCATGGGCGAGTCACTTAACTCTGTTTGCCTCAGTTTCCTCATCTGTAGAATGAGCTGGAGAAGGAAATGGCAAACCACTCGAGTGCTTTTGCCACAAAAACCCAAGAGGTTGTGGACACTCAGTTCAATAACAATAAGGGTCAGTGAAAAAAAAAAAGCCCCATGTTCAAATTCCAAGTCTTGACACTCCCTAGCTGTGTAACTTCAGGCAACTCATTTCAATCCTCTGTGCCTCAGCTTCCTCATCTGTCAGATGGGGATAGCAAGACTTTCTCTACCTTCGTCACAGAGGGAAGCAAGCTGTAAACCTCAAAATGCTACGTTATCGTGAGATTCTCCTATTATCTCCAAAGCCATTTTGTTTCATGACTTGCTGAGTCTGAAAGGGCATTTTCCTGTCTTAGCAAATACAATATTAAACACTGATAACTAAAGATATTTCAGGGCCTCAGACGTGTCATTTTTTGGGGTGACAAGGGGCTAGTCAATGAGGGTCCAGCCCCAGAACCATGAGCTACAGGCTCTGCCTGCTATCGGCAGTGTTGTTCGGTCATTTTTTCAGTTGTGTCTGATTCTTCATGACCCTATTATGGGGTTTTCTTGGCAAAGATACTGGAGTGGTCTGGTATTTCCTTTTCCAGCTTATTTTACAGGTGAGGGAATTGAGGCAAACAGGATTAAAGGACTTCCCTAGGGTCACACAGCTAGTGTGAGGCTAGATTTGAACTCACAAAGATGAGTCTTCCTGACTTCAAGCCCAGAACTCTATCCACTTTGGCACCTAGCTGCCCAGTAAATATCCCTTTGTAAAAGCTTGTTGATACTAATTGGTTAACCAATACTGAGGAGAAATCAACCAGTTAAATTCATAGTGGGGCAGTAATCACTGGCAACCAATACTGTGGGGAACACAACAGAATAAGTCAATGGTCAAGTCAACAGCATTAAGAGAAATCCAATGCCCTTCATGAGTATCCCTAGAACTCCAAAAGAGAGACACAGCTAACCACTCTCCGACTAAGTAAGTAACCCAGCAGTGCATTTGTGGGCTGGGAGACGAAGTCCAAAGTCCTACCATATTTGTACTATTCATCACTGCACAGTAGAAGCAAATGTAGAAGGCGTATGAGATTGAACTAGGATCTAACCTCAAGTCACTGTGTTTTTCCCCACTGGTTGCTTAGATTCCATGATGCTTGCTGAAGCCTTTCCATGGTGGAGAAATAGGAGAGGTTTCTCCTCTGTGTGAGGGTGGGGAAAGAATCAGGGCAAAGCTCAGTGTTGGAGTTTCCAGGTTTTCTTAGAAGATAGTGCCTACAAATGAAATTTGGATTTCCAGACTCTTACCCACAGATGTGATACACCTAAGAAGAGCTAGTAAAAACACATTTTCCTAGGATCTTATACATCTAATCAAGTATACTTTATATTATCACTGCTCTTGGAACTCAAAAGACCAGACAGAAAAGATGAGATAAAAATTTCGCATCTAAAATTTATAGGGAACCATTAAAATTTCATGAAGGGAAATCATAGTCCAAAGTGGACAAATAGTCAAAGGACATGAACAAATAATTTCTTTTAGGTTCCGCCTCACACCCACCAATTCAGTAAAAATAATTAAAAGCAACAAAATTCAGTGCCAGTGGGATCGTGGAGAAGAGACATGTTCATTCCTCAGTGATGCAGATGCAAACTTGTAGAATCCTTTTGGAGAGCAGACTAGCAATGCAATAAGAGATACAAAAGAATCATCCTCCCTTGACTCAATAATTCCATTGTTGAGAATATAGCCTGAAAGTCATCTTTTAAAAAAAAACAAAACAAAACTAGAAACAGCCCAAACGTTGAACAATAGGGCAATGACTGAATAAATTGTAGTAGGAATGTAATGGAATAATATAATGCAATTAAGATCAAGAAAGATAGAAAGATCTTTATGAAATCAGGCAAAATGAAAAGAGCCAGACCAAAGAACAGAATACACTCTTAACGAAGACCACATACGAAGGAAAAATGAATGGACAAACCGAAAACTGATGGGGGTTTTGAGGGAGTGACATTTTATGTGTTGAAAATCACTTATTTAAAGGTAATTGGCTTCGAAGCAAGTCTGATTGGTTGTATTGGCATTGATTATTAGGACTATAATAAATTATTGTTGTAGCCTGGAAAACCACTGATTTCTCGGGCCTAGTCCGACAAGCTGTCTGTGTCTTAGGCATATGTACCTCCCTCCTTCCTTGGCCCTTCTCCACCCCCAACCTCTACAGCTGTATCCAACTTTGCCTGAACTTTCTAACCCGGAAATTTCCAATTTTCTAGCTGACTGGCCTCTCCCTGCATGTGGCTTCAGTGGTGAGAAGCTGATCAGATGCATCTGACCACTCTCTATTAGTTACCTGAGACGCCTTCATCCTGGAGCTGCCAAAAAGCATGGAAGGAAACTGAGACCCAGGGCTCCCAGGGAGAGCTTGTTATCCCAGTGGACCAACAAGCCATCTACACCATGGCCTCTTCCCCTGTCATCCCTTGTGGCTTTCCCCTATTTTTGTTCTGCTGTGTCTTACTTCTGGTCCTTTGCTCTCACTGTCTGCCAGGCTCAGAATCGGTTCCCCATCTCTATCTGCTGATCTCCGTCCTTTTCAAATCCCAGTTTAGGAGTTACTTCCTCCCCAAAGCCTGGGTGCTTCGCTCAGTAACTTGTGTTCACAGCAGCCTGGAATAAGCCCCTAACAAATGCTCCCTGATTGATGACTGACAACTGTCTGAGAGCTCCTCTCCCACCTCTAGGGAAATGTGATCACCTCCTCCTCATGTGTCTCATGGCTCTTTCCTCACTGTCTTTGGCTCCATGGCCTCCTTCTTCCACTGGGCTGCAAGCTCATGACAGCCCCATGTTCACCCTCATCACCCTCGTCTTTGCTTTGCAGAGAGCACATCATCACCTGTAATAAGTGGTAGCTGAATCTGTCCATTTAAGGTCTTCTATCTCCAAATCCCGCACTGTTTCAACTACACGTACCACATTATAATAACTGGCACTTACACAATACTTACAGTCTGTAAGGCACTTGTACATCCACTATCTGATATAAAAGTTTCACATCAACCCTGACTGTACAGTCAGAGCAAAAACCAAGGAACAGTTTTCCCTGGGGCAAAAAAAGTTTGAGAGAGGAAGAAAGGGTGGTTGTATAGAGAGTCAGTCAATCCCAGGTGCACTCGTGCCAGGAGAGAATATAATCTATTTATCACACCCCACAAAGGTTGGAGAGGAAACTGGGCTCTCTTGAACAGGGCTATGACAATTGGAGATCAGGAGGGTTGGATGGCTCTGGGGCAGTTGTGTTGTATTGTGTTGTGCTGTGGGCCAATGGTGGACCATGACATGACTCAAGTGGGGAAGAAGTACTCCCCTCTGTAGGTTAACACTCTTGGGCAAAGGTCCACTGGCCCCACATTAGTTCCAGCTTTAACTACAGTCAACAAGTATTTATGAAGCACCTTCTATGTGCTGGGCATCGTGCTAAATGCTAAGTATTATACACATTCACAGAGGAGAAAACTGAGACTTGGGGATACCAGGATATACCCATGGACAACAGGAGGTATTACAGGTGAGGGTTTAAACCCAGATTCACTGCCTTTGGAATCAGAATTCCTGGGTTCAAATCCTGCCTCTGACACATGCTACCTGTGTAACCTTAGGTGAGCAAGTCACGAAACTCCCTGGGCCTCAGCTTTCTCCTCTGCAGAGTGGGGATCGGATAGATAGCCTCTGAATTCCCTTCTAGTTAGAGTGCCATAATCTGATGCTTCTACAACTCCAAGCAGCCCAGAAGCCTATCCACCAGCCTGCCCTGCCTTTCATATTTACCAATATATAGCAAAGGGGCCCTAGTTCCACCCCTTCTAATTCCACTAAGTACTCTAGCTAAGGTCATTTTTCAGTTTTTCAGTCATGTTCAATTCTTCATGATCCCATTTGGGGTTTTCTTGGCAGGGACACTGGAATGGTTTGCCATTTCCTTCTCCAGATCATTTTACAGAAGAGGAAACAGAGGCAAATGGGATTAAGTGACTTGCCCAGGGTCACACAGGTAGTAAGTGTCTGAGGCCAGGTTTGAACTCATGAAGATGAGTTTTCCTGACTCTAAGCCTGGCACTCTTTCCTTTATACCACTAGCTAAGGTAGGCCCTGGCAAAAGCGGCAGCAGCTACAGCTTCCAACTCACTGCAGTTGTTCTCTGTAGCCCTGGAATCCCTAAAACATCTTGGGGGGCCCCGAGTGAGGAACCCCTTGACCCCTCCTTTGAGGGCTTTCCTACAATCAGCACTGACAGAGCGCTGCTTGAACATACACATGGATACAATGAGCAAACTAAAACCACTTCCTTCCCTGTCCCTTGAGCTCCTTGGCTGGAAGACCAAGATGGGGCTTTGTCAGAAGTGAGTAAATCAGGCTTTACCAAAAAGTAGGCTCCCCAACTGGCTTCCTG